CCCTAGAATTGGGTATCCAGCAAAATTACCCTTCAAAAGTGATACTGAAATAAAGGCTTTCTTAGACACATGAAAATTGTGGGAATTAATTAAAAGAAGTTCTTCAGAGAAACAGAAAATGATATAGATCAGAAATTTGGGTTCCACATAAATAGAACAGAGAATGGAAATATTTCAATGACATGTAACTGACACGTAACACTGTATTTGTTAAAGTGTACAATATGCTTTCATGTATGTATACATTGTACAATGATAACCACAGTAAATTAACATCATAATTACAATTTTTTTCTTGTGATGAGAACTTTAAAGATCTACTGTCTCAGCAACTTTCAAATATACAATACACTATTATTAACTACAGTCCCTGTGCTGTGCATTACAACCCCAGGAATTATTCATCGTACAACTGAAAGTCTGTAGCTTCTGACACCATCTGCACATTTCTTTCACACACTCACCATCACCTGCTTTGGCAACTACTAATCTGTTCTCTATATCTGAGTTTGCTGTGTGTTTGTTGTTGTTGTTTTTTTAAAGAGTCCACATGTAAGTGTAATCCCATAGTACATCTGACACTTGAACAACATGGGCTAGAATTGCATGGGTCCAATTATACATGGATATTTTTCAACACATACACACAGCATTACATGATGTGTGCGTGGATGAATCCACAAATGCAAAGCCTCAGCACCAGAGCGCTGACTGTGGGACTTCAGCATCTGCAGATTTCAGTGTTCAGGGGCTCATGAAACCAGTCCTCTGTTGAAACTGAGGGATAACTGTATTTGTCTTTCTCTGTCAGACTTATCTCACTTCACATAATGCCCTCAAGGTCCATCTATTGTTGCAAATGGCAGGACTTCCTTTTCTTATGGCTGAGTATTGAAAAATACTCCATATGTAGCACATTTTTGTTATCCATTTATCCATCAATGGACTCTTACATTGTCTCCATGTCTTGAATACTGTAAATAATCCTACAATAAACATGAGGTAAAGATATCTTTTTGAGATGATGATTTCATTCCCTTTGGACTGGATAAATAAATACAAAGAGGTGGAACTGCTGGATCATGTTATTCCTTTTTCAGTTTATCTAAGATTCTCCATACTGTTTCCCATAGTGGTTGCAACAATTTAAATCAACACTGCACAAGAGATCCCTTTTCCCTACATCTTCACCAACACTTATTTCTTGTCTTTTTGATAACAGACATAATAGGTGTCAGGTGATATCCCACTGTGGTTTTGATTCGCATTTCCCTGACCATTAGTGATACTGAGCACCTTTTCACATAGCTGTCTGCCTTTGCGTGTCTTCTTTCAAAAAAATGTCTGTTCAGATCTAACAGATGACAGTTTGTGGAAAAGAACAATGGCAAAAAGGTACTCCATTACGTATTTTTATATACCCACTTATGTATGCCTAGGTAAAAGTAAAATGCACGACAGCAACAATACAACAGGGAAAAGAAAGCAACTAGGATTTCTGTTTAAATTACAACATACCCAAACTACTCATGAAGCCATATAATGTTACTTGAAAGTGGACTTCAATTAGTTGTTAATATATATTGGAAACTCTCAGGCAACTACATGAAAAAATGAAAAGAAAGAAGTATAGCTGATAGGCTAACAAAGGACAGAAAATGCAATCATACTAAATGCTAGATTGAAACCACTAAAATAAGAGTGTAAGAATAAAAGAGAAAAAAGGAACAAGGAAAATGAATAGAAAATGATGACAAATATGATAGATATTTATACAACTGTACCATTAATTAAAAGTAGTCTAAATATACCAATTAAAAAAGGAATGACCAGAGTGGGTCAAAACACAGGACTTAAGTATATGTTCTCTCCAAGAAACCTACTTTAAACACAAAGATGGATATAGATTAAAAGTAAACGAATACTGCAGCAAAAACCATCCTAAGACAGATATCTATACAGGCCTTCCTGAAATAACAAGAATAATCTCAAATAAACAACCTAACTTACCATTGGAAAAAAAATCACAAAAGGAAGAACAAACAAAACCTAAAGTCAAATCTCAATATTCATAGCAGCACTTTTTACAATAATCAAGATGTGGGAGCAATCTAAATGTCCATCGACAAATGACTGGATAAAGAAGCTGTGGTATATATATACAATGGAATATCACTCAGCCATAAAAAGGAATAAAATAATGTCAGTTGCAGCAACATGGATGGAACTAGAGATTATCATACTAAGTTAAGTCAGTCAGAGAAAGACAAATGTCATATAATATTACTTGTGTGTGGAATCTAAAAAAAATGACAGGAATGTATTCACAAAAGAGGAAGAGACTCACAGATATAGAAAACAAACTTACAGTACTGGGGTGGGCAAAGAAGGATAAATTGGGAGTTTGGGATTGGCAGATATAAACTATGTACAGAATAGATAAACAACGAGGTCCTACAGTATAGCACAGGGAACTATTTCAATAGCTTGTAGTAGCTTTTGGTGGGGGAGAGGCAAAGTAATTAGGTATAATTATTTTTAATGGAAAACTAGGGATTGAACCCAGGACCTTGTCCACGAGCTATACCCTCGCCCTGGCTGGTAATAAGTTGTAATGAAAATGAATGTATGTGTGTGTCCGTGTATATACGCATATGTATACATATATATACACACACACATACACACATATACATACAGCTGAATCATTAAGCTGTATAACAGGAACTACTAATACAACATTGTAAACCAACTATACTTCAATTTTTTTTAAAATGGGGGGAAAAAACTCAGTAAAAAAATAACAACCCAATTTAAAAATGGGCCAAAGACCTTAACAGACACCTCATTAAAAGAGAATATACAGATGACACTATAGCATATACAAAGATGCAAGGAAATGCAAATTAAACTCAAAAGGAGATACAATCACATACTTATAAGAATAGCCAAATTTCAAAAACTGACAACATGAAATGCTGGTAAGGATATGGAACAAGAGGAATTTCATCCATTGCTTGGTGGAATGCAAAATTGTACACCCCATTTTGAAAGACATTTTGGTAGTTTCCTACAAAACTAAATACATTCTTAAATCATCCAGTAATTATACTCCTTGGTATTTACACGTAAGAGTTGAAAACTTACATCTACACAAAAATTTTCACAGGTGTTTAGAGCAGTTTTATTCCTGGCTGTCAAAACTTGGAGGCAATCAAGAAGTCCTTCAGTAGATGAATGGAGAAACATGGTACATCCAGATAACGGGAACATTATTTAGAACTAAATACGAAAGAGCTATCAGGTCATGAAAACATCACGCAGAAAACTTAAATTCATGCTACTAAGTGAAAGAAGCCAAAATGAAAAGGCTCATACTGTATGATGCTAAATATATGACATATTAGAAAAGGGAAACTAAGGAGTCTAAAAAAATCAGTGGTTACCAAGGAGTACAGGGGAGGAAAGGATGACGAGATGGAGCATGAAGGATTCTCAGTGCACTGAAAACACTCTATATAATACTATAATGGTGAACATGTCATCCTACATTTATCAAACCCCAAAGATGAACACCATCAAGAGTGAACACTAATGCAAACTTCAGCTTTTGAGTGATAATGAAATGTCAGTGTAGATTTATCAATTTGAACACTCCAGTGTAACACTTGATTCAATGCAATCCCTATCAATATTCCAAAAATCTTTGAAATTGAAAACCTCATCCTAAAATTCATATAGACTCTAAAGGGATTCCATAGAGACAACACAATTGTGAAAAAGAACAAAGTTGAAGGACTCATGCCACCTGATTTCAAAATTTATCAAAAAGCTACAGTAATCAAAATAGCATGCCAGTGGCATAAAGATACATATATACTCCAATGGAAAAGGATAGAGAACAGACTCTAAAAATGAATCCTCACACACATGATCAAATAGTTTTTGAAAAGAGGACCATTACCATTCACTAAGGGCAGTCTTTTCAACAAAGGGTACAGGGAAAACTGGATATCCAAATGTACAACACTGAAGTTGAACCAACCTCACCTAACACTATATAAAAAATTCATTCAAAATGTACCAAAGGCCTAAATATAAGAGCCAAAATGATAAAATTCTTAGAAAAAAACAAAAGGGAAAAGCTTCAAAATGCTGGATCCACTTATGATTTCTTGACGACAACAACAAAGGCAGAAAAACAGAAGAAAACACTGACACACTGGACCTCATAAAAATGATCAATTTTTGGTGCATACCTTTAACTAACACAACATTATTTGTTAATTATACATCAAGAAAGATGGAGGAAGAAAGAAAAACACTGAACAACTTTTGTACATCAAAGGACTCTGAACATAGGGAAAAGGCAACCACAGAATGGGAGAAAATATTTTAAAATCATGTATACAACAAGGGATTAATATCCAGAATATATAAATAAAGCCTGTAACACAACAACCAGAAACACAAAGTAATTAAAAAATGAAAACGGATTTGACTAGGTGTTTTCCTAAAGATACACAAATGGCACAACTTTAGGGGAAAACCATAAAATGGTAAAGATATACTACTTAACAGAAGTAGAAGAACTGAAACCTTGGAAAAGGGTCTTGCAAGAACAGTTTATGGTCTGTTTGAGTAATGACCATATCACTGCCTACGGTCTGTTGCACAATCAGGCACAAATCAATGTCAGATAAAGGAATGGAGAAAAACTTAGGTACCATGGAAATGGACAGTCAACTGACCAAAGAGAGGACAAGAAAGGAAGGATTTATCAGGCTGAGCGCAAGACTACTGACCCTCAATCATTGCCTGCAAGATGCTGGGTCTACAGAGCAGGGATGCACTCAACATAGCCACAGTAAACAGAGCACATCCCCAAGGGACTGAAGTAGGAAGTAGCAGCCACGGTCTAGATGTGAAAAGGACAGAGCTGTCCAAGGGGAAAAGAAGAAAGGCAGTTCAGGGGACAGGGGCGGATGCGAAGGCCTTACCCAGCATGGATACAAGTGCAAAGTTTTCCAGCATGACATCAAGGTACAGACGTATCTGAACCTCATCAAGCAGACACCATTCCTCCCAGGAGAAGTACACGGCCACATCCTCAAAGGTCACACTGTCCTGCTATAATGGGGACAAACAAAACCATGAACAGTCTCACTCCTGAAAACCCATGACTCATCTTCCCACACATCTACCCTACTGCCCAACTAGATGAAGCCTTGAGACCTGGGTAAGAAAACCTTCCTGCCCTGATCTGAATCTCCCATGGCCTCCAGAATACAAAGGCAGTCATTTCAAGGCTAATTACTCTTCCCCGCTGTTTACTCCCACCAGGAAAAAAAAAAAAAAAAGGAGACCACCACTTAGATAAACCAGCTCAGCCTCACTTCAAAGCAGTTCCAAACGCTCATACTGGTTCCAGTAATAACCTTCCACACCTCCTACTATTAGTGTTGGCAAATGGGGACCCTCTACATATAACCTGGCCTGGATCCAGGACCCTGAGCAAGGGATTCTCCAGGATCCCCAAACCAAAGGGCTAGCAGAATAGCAGCTGAAAACCTCCCAAATACAGAGGATGTGTGGGTGGCGATCAGAACAAACGAGAGGGTGGGACAAACTTCACTGACCAAAACTGCTTCTGCAGCCCTGGGAACCTGTGGGAAAAGGAAGCCCACGGAGGAAAGCGACCACGGCGGCGCTCCGGGGGCCAGGCCTTCCTGGATCTCTGCCCGGTACCAGCCAGGGAACCTCCACACTTCAATCCTCAGTGTACCTCTTACCAGCTGTGACCTGGGAGAAGCCACAACTGCCCTCTGCCTCCATGTTCTTCCTACATTCCTTGATTCCTTTGAACAAGCTTTGCAGTATTTTAAAAAACCTCGCTCAGATCGTGTCCTTCCTTGACTCCAAACTCTCCACGGCTCCCAGAGCCCTAAGAATTAAGATATAATCACTCCTGCACCATTCCAGGTGCAAGTGGGCCTCAAACTTCGTTCCTCGGAGAAACAAGACAGACTCCAGGTTCCCCGAAGTTCCCGGTTCAATTGCCTCTCCAGGCCCCACCGACACCGCAAGACACTGTGGGCAGAAACTGGGACCCCGTCCCGAAGGCCTCGGTCCTGGACCAGGGGCCTGGGCTAAAGAGACGGAAACTGACGCCCCCCGCTCGGGGCGTTACTGTCTGGGTGGGAAACGGGCAGGGGAGAACCCGCAGCAGCAGCACTTACCTGAGCCGCGTCCCTCAGCGCAGCCGCCGCCATCCGAGCCTCTGCGCGGAGCAGAGTGGCCACAGTCTAGTGACCGGGTCGGCTCGGCACCGACACTCCTCGCAGGCGGCGGTGTCCCCGACCCTCACACCCGCCCCCGTGTTGCGCGGACAGAACCTTTTCCTGCGCCTTCTAGCCCGTCACCTCCCTCCCTTCACGGGAGACGCAACTTCCTGACCAACCTAACGGACCCCACAGCAATCAAAATGTCGGCTACGAGCACGCCGGAAGTGCCTCTCCAGGAGGTTTGCCCCTCCGGAAATGCCCCCTTTCTGGATTTTCATTGGATAACGTCATTGACCTTTAGCGAACGACCTTCTGGGTAATGTAGTGGTAAGGACTCAGCGAATAGCGCTTCGCACGGAAATCACCCAGCGGGATGCCAAGCATACCGCGAGGGGCGCTGGGAAATGGGCGCTAGGGAGAGGGAGGGGCTCCATCCTTTTTAACCCGACGGGACAACCAGGGGGACAGAGGAGATAAGAGAATTGAAGTCTTTGGTACTATTAGTCCCTGAAGCGTTTGGACAATCTCTCAGGCTCCGTGAAGTCTTCGCAAGTTAACATCCACTGGAAACTGAAAGCAAATACACATTTTTCTATTGCTCTTGAGATGCATGCAGCCTGAAGTGTGAAAGTCATTTTGGAAGCTTTGGTCAGGAACAGGAAAAAAGGCAGGCAGGACTGTGACTGGGAATATGAAGAGGAGATAGTGGGCAGCCCTGAAGCAGATGGACAAAGGGGAAAGCACTGTTTCTGGTCCCACCGAAGAGGCTCTCCTGCCTGTATAGTCAATGATAGTGCCCAACTTAGGGAGAAACGCTGATGTGTGTATGAACAGGGTACCCAAGAAGGCGGTTCTCTTGCTCTTTGTACCTCCCCTCCTCCACCACTTCCTCATTCACCTACACCCTACTCATCTGACTGACCTTCCCTCTTAATCAGAGAGCCTAATCAGTACATAAATGCCTAGTACTTCATCCCAGCCTCGGCTAGTTATTTTTGTTAATCTTTAGATCAGAAAGTCTTCATTTTGATATTTTATCAGAGGGCGAGCTGAAAGTTGATGAGCCAACCTGACCCCAATTCCCTCTAAAGCTTGTAACCTTTCTCTCCCCCAAATACGGAAGACTACTGTCACATGCTGCCTGCTGTCTGTGGACCACAATGTGGTGTCCCTCCAGGACCTTCCTTTGGATAAGTAAAATCCCTTCCCTATTAAACCAATGGTGTCTCTGTCGCCATCTCTGGGCTGTTTCTTAACTCTTGAAACTGGGCCATTACTCAACAACTGATCTATCCTTAAACATTAAGTTGTTTTGTACTTGGAACATAAAACTGTTTTACACATGTACGTTTGTTCTTCAATATACACTGCAACGTTGAATGAATAAAATATCTGAATGACTATTGTTAATAAAGGCGCAATTTAGTGATCAGTAGCACCAAAGGCTCTCAAAGCCAAATGCAACCTCCCTGTGCCACGGTTCTCCATGAAACCCTCCCCCGCCCTAGAAGTCATTTCCCAGTGCCTCCGCGGTTCTCCCTGGCTCTTTTCTGGATGATTCCGGTGTGGGGCGCCCTTCCCTGAGACCTTAGCACTACATTACCCAGAAGATAATGCGCCAAGGGGCAGCGACGTTAGTCCAATGAAAACCCAGAAAGGAGGCGTTTCCGGGTCAGCAATCATTTCGGAGAGGGACTTCCGGCGTCTACTTGGCGGCCATTTTGGTTCCTGTGGAGTCTGTTGGCCACGTGAGAAGGTCGTGGGTCCCGTGAGGGGAGCGAGGTGACGGGCTGGAAGGCTCAGGAGGAGGCTCTGTCCGCGCTGCACGGGTGCGGGTGTGAGGGTCGGGGACACCGCCGCCCGCGAGGGGTGTCGTTGCCGAGCCGACCCGGTCACTCGGCTGCGGCCACTCTGCTCCGCGCAGAGGCTCGGATGGCGGCGGCTGCGCTGAGGGACGCGGCTCAGGTAAGTGCTGCTGCTGCGGGTTCTCCCCTGCCCGTTTCCCACCCAGACAGTAACGCCCCGAGCGGGGGGCGTCTGTTTCCGTCTCTTTAGTCCAGGCCCCTGGTTCAGGACAGTGAGGCCTTCGGGACGGGGTCCCTGATACTGCCCACCAGTGTCGTGTGGTGTCCGTGATGCAAGTGAACCGGAAACTTCGGGGAACCTGGAGTCTGTCTTGTTTCTCCGAGAAACAAATTTTGATGCCCAGTTGCACTTGGAATGGTGGAGGAGTGATTGTTCCTTTATAATTAGGTCCTTGGGAGCCGTGCAGTTTTGAGCCAAGGAAGAATACGAACTGAATTAGGCTTTTAAAAGTATTCTAAAGCCCGTTCATTGGAAGGGCGGACTCTAGGGGGGTGATAAGAACATTGAGGCAGAAGGCAGTTTTTGCTTTTCGAAAGTTACAACTGGTCAGAAATAGCACTGAGGAATGATTCAGGGAGGTTATGTTGCTCCAGGAAGGCCTGAGTCCCTGGCCATCGCCACGGTTAGTTTCCTCGTGGCTTCGCTTTTCCCACAGACTTCCAGGGCTGTAGAAGCACTTTTATTAAGTGGAGTTTGTCCCTATTCCCCTACGCACAGATTTTGTGTATTTGAGGTGCCTTCGCGTGTCTTCATCTGCCATTCTTCAAGCCCTTTGGTTTGGGGACCCTGGTTAATCCCATGCTCAGGATCCTGAGTCCAGGATGGGGAGTATGGAGAGTGTATGCATTTCCTACCACCAATAGAACGTGCTGTAGGTTATTGCTCGAACCGGTTCCAGTAGGTGATAACTGGTTTCAAGTGAGGCTGAGCTGGTTTAGGTAATTTCTGATGGGAATAAACAGCAGTGAAGAGCAGGAGTTAGGTTTGAAATGAATGCCTGTGTATTCTTGAGGCCATAGGAGGTTCAGATCTGGGCAGGGAGGTTTTCTTACCCAGGTCTCAAGGCTTCATCTAGTTGGGCAGTAGGGTAGATGTGTGGGAAGATGGGTCGTGGGTTTTCAGGAGTGAGACTGTTCATGGTTTTGTTTGTCCCCATTATAGCAGGACAGTGTGACCTTTGAGGATGTGGCTGTGTACTTCTCCCGGGAGGAATGGTGTCTGCTTGATGAGGTTCAGATATGTCTGTACCTTGATGTCATGCTGGAGAACTTTGCCCTTGTATCCATGCTGGGTAAGGCCCTCACACCCATCCCTATCCTCCGAACTAGGCTCTTGCTGGTGGGGAGCTCTGATTTCTCAGTTCTGTACCGTGGGCACTTACTTTTTTCTTCAATTCCCTGGGTAGGTGCTGGGGTTACTATGGTTAGGCTGAGTGCATTCTTATTGCGGGAACTGCTGGCGTCCCAGCAACATGTAGGTAGTGATTGAGGGTCAGTGGTCTTGCGCTCAGCCTGGGAGATCCCTCCTTGCTTGCCCTCTCTCTGGCCAGCTGACTGTCCAGTTCCATGGTACAGAAATTTTGCTCCACTCGTGTACCTGACATTAAGCGGTCCCTGACTGTACAACAGACTGTTGTCATTGAAATGGTCACTACTAAAGCAGACCTTGAGTTGTTCTTGAAAGACCCTTTTCCAAGATTCCAATTCTACATCCCCACCAGCATCTGTTATTTTCTCTTCTTTGGGTACTTGTCCTAATTGGTGTGAACTAGTGTATTTTTTACCATTTAGATTGCATTTCCCTAATGATGTGGTTATTGGCCATTTGTATATCACTTGAAAAATATCTGTTCAAATCCTTTTTCATTTTTATACTTGCTGATTATTTGGTTGTTGTGTTATGGGCTTTCTATATTCTGGATAATAATCCCTTGTTGTGTACATGATTTTTAAATATTTTCTCCCATTCTGTGGTTGCCTTTTTCCTGTATTCATAGTGTCCTTTGGTGTACAAAAGTTTTTCAGTTTTTTCCCTTTTCCACATATCTTTCTTGAAGTATCATTGTTTGCAACTATTTTCTTTCATTCAATAGTTTGTCTTTTTCTTGTGCTAATGGTTTCCTTTGCTGTACAAAAGCTTTTAATTTTAATTAAGCCCCATTTGTTTGTTTTTGGTTTTATTTCCATTACTCTAGGATATGGATCCAAAAGAAAATTGCAGTGATTTATGTCAAGGAGTGTTCTACCTATGTTTTCCTCTAGGAGTTTTATAGTTTCCAGTGTTACATTTAGGTCTTTAAGCCATTTTAAGTTTATTTTTGTATATGTTTTTAGAGATTGGTATCAATTTTCTATTTAACATTTTGTCTGATCCATTCTGAGTTATTTTTTGTGAAGGGTGAAAGGTTTGTGTCTAGATTCTTTTTTTTTTGTATGTTATGTTCAGTTGTTCCAGTATCATTTATTAAAGACTTAATCTTTTCTCTGTGTATTGCCTTTGCTTATCTATCAAAGATTAATTGACTGTGTTTCTATGGGTCTATTTTTGGGCTCTCAATACTGTTCATTGATCGATTTATCTATTCTTTCAAGAATACCACCCTGGCTTGAGGACTAGATACTAATTTGGGGGGAGGGGCAGGGGGAGGTGATAAGCTTTATTTATATTTAGAGGAGGCGCCTAGGGTTGAACCCAGGACTTCATGCGTGCTAAGTTTACACTCTTGCTCTTGAACTGTACCCTCCCCACTAATTCCTGAAATTTAGTAGTGTCAGTCTGTCATCTTTGTTTTTCAGTACTGTGTTGGCTGTTTTGGGACTTTTGCCTCTCTATATAAACTTCAGGATCAGTTTGTTTCTAGCCACAAAATAACTTACTGGAGTTTTGATTTGGATTGCATTGCATCTGTGGATCAAGTTGGATAGAACTAACATCTTGACAATAGTGTGTCTTTCTATTTATGGACATGAAATACCTTTCCATTTATTTATTTATTTCATTCATCAGAGTTTTATAGTTTCCCACACACAAATCTTGTTGGTAGATTTATGAATAAGTATTTCTTTCTTGAATTGTTTTTCTTTTTTTATAGTAATGTACACAGTATGTGCTTTTAATTTTAAATTTCACATGTTCATTGCTGGTATATTGGAAGGTGATTGACTTTTGTATATTAACCTTATATTTTGAAACCTTGGTATAATTTGAAATAATTGCTGCTTCATTCCAGGATTTGGTTTGGTTTGGTTTTTTTTTTTTTTTTACATAGTTGATCATGTTATCTGAGAATGAAGCGTTTTCTTCTTTCCTTTCAAATCAGTACATCTTTTACATAACCTTATTCCATGGCGTTAATTTTGAATTCCAATATAAAGCTGAAAAGGAGTGGTAAGATGGAACATCCTTGCCTTTTCTCAGTGAGAAAGCTTCTAGTTTTTCTCTGTTAAGTATGATAATAGCTGTAGGGTTTTATTTACATTACCAAGTTGAAGTTTTCCTCTATGTTTAGTTCACTAAGAGATAGATAGTTTTCATGAGTGAGTGTTGGATTTTGTCAGGTTATTTTCCTGCATTTATTAATGCAATCACTTGTTTTTTTTTAATCTGTTAATATGGATCATATTAATTGACTTTCGAATGTTAAACCAGCCTTGCAAACCTTGGGTAAATCCCACTTCATCGTGGTGTTTAATTCTTTTTATACAGTTTTTGAATGAATTTAGTAATATTTTGTGAGGATTTTTGTGCCTGTGTTCATGAGTGATGTTGGTCTGTAGCTTTCTTGTAATGTCTTTAGTTAGGTATTGGAGTATTGCAGTCCTCGTAGAAGGAGTTAGGTAATACAATTCCCTGTGTTTTTATCTTCTGAAACAGACTGTAGAGAATTGTATAATATCTTTTTAATGTTTGGCAGAGTTCACCAGGGAAGCAGTCTGGGCCAGTTACATGTTGTGTTTGACGGTTATTCATTATTGATTAATTTTTTTTAATAGATGTTAACCTACTCAGATTGTCCGTTTCTTCTTATGTGGGAACTGTTAGACTGTCTTTTAGGTAATTGATCTGTTTGATCTAGGTTATCAAATTTATAGGCTTAGAGATTGTTATATATTTTCATTATTCTTTTATTGTCCATGGTATCTGTGGTGATGTTTCCTCTTTCATTTATGTTGTTAGTAACTTGTCTGTCTGCTTATTTATTATCCTAACTAGAGTCTTTTTGATTTTGTTGATCATTTTAAAGAACCAGTTTTTTGGGCTGTGTTGGTTTTTCTCTTGATTTTTTAAAATTATTTCTTCTTCAGGTGTAATTTTCTCCTATTCCGGTTTCCTAAGGAAGTACAGATTGTGGATTATACATCTTTCTTATTTTCTAACATATGTAGTCAGTGCTATAAATTTCCCTATAGATACTGCTTATCCACTTATTTGGAGAGATGGTGTATGTGTTTTTTTTAAATGTTTTGAAATTTTTGTTGAGATTTCTTCTTTGATCTATGTGTTATTTGTAGATTTATTGTTTACTTTCACAATATTTTGGAATTTTGTTCCTATCCTTCTGTTACTGGTTTCTGGTGTAACCCAGTGTGGTCTGAGAAAAGACATTGTGTGATTTCTCTTTTAAAGTTTTTATTCTGTGATACTCTTCCTATATGTGTGAAACCCAAATTTCTGTTTTATATCAATTTCCATCTGTAGAACTTCTTTTAATAAATTCCCACAAATTTTCTGTGTCTAAGAAGGTTTGTATTTCACCATCACTATTGACGGTTAATTTTAGTGGATATTGACTTCTAGGTTGGTGAGGCTTTCCCTGTGCCCCTCCCCAGCACCTGAAATGTTTCACTGCATTCTGTTTGCATGAGTTGTGAGGAGACTTCAAATGTAATTTTTTTTGTTGCTCCTCTGTAGGTAAGATGTTTCAGGATTTTTCTTTCTGCTTTTGAATATGGTATGCCTAGGTGTGTTTTTTTGGTATTCAACCAGTTTGATGTTCTCTGAGCTTCCTTGGTCTGTGAGTTGGTGTCTGACATTAATTTGGTGGAAGTTCTCCATCATTATTTTTGAAATATTTCTTTGTTCCTTTTTTCACTTTCTCTTTGTGATGTTTCTATACATGTATATTCTTTTGTAGTTGTCCCACAGTTCTTGAATATTTTTGTTTTATTGTTTTTAGTCTTATTTTGTTTGTTTGCTTTACAGTTCTGAAAGTTTCTTTTCTTTTCTTTTTTTTTTTGAAGTTTCTACTAAGAGAACATCAAGCTCAGATTCTTTCCTCAGCTGTGTACAGTCTGTGAATGAGCCCATCACAGCCATCTTCATTTCTATTACCGTGTTTTTGATCTCTTGCTTTTTTTTTTGGTTCTTTCTTAGAATTTCCACCTGTCTGCTTTATATTGCCCTTCTGGTCTTATGTAATGTGTACTTTATCCTTAGCAGACTTTAATTAGCACATTAATCATAATTATCTCTTACTCCCAATATCAGTATTGCAACATCCCTGTAATAATCTGATTCCAGCTCTGAAGCTTCCTTTGTCTCCCAAAACCTTTTTCCCCACTTTTAGTGTGCCCTGTAATATTATCTTGAAAACTGGCATGATGATAGTCCTGTAATGGTGTGTGTTGGTAAGTTGTGGTGAGGAAAACAGGCAAAGCCCTGTAAGCATTCATAGTGTGTTTAATTTTCAGGCTTTTAATGAGCTTCTGTGTCTAGACTGTGAACCTCACAAGGGCTTCTCAATTTATTTTTCCTTCCCTTAGATGGGAGAGGATGGGCCCAGGGGGGCTGAAGTTGAGTATTTTGTTTTTCCCAGACAAGTTTGGCTCTGATAAAACTGCAGCAGGTTAGGCTCTGGTTCAATAATTTTAATTAGGACAGGCTTTGTTAAGAACAGAATGGTCTGGCTTTTATTCATCTGATCTTTACCATTTCCTTTTCCAGAAAGCTTCGTTTACTTTGTTCTTTTTGTAGTTCGTCGAGTTGTAAAGTTAGCTTGTTGAGTCATGACATTTCTTCTATCTTGATGTAAGCATTTTTCGCTCTCAGTTTTCCCCTCAGTACTGCTTTTGCTGCATCTTCTAAGTTTTATTTTCTAATTTCCTTTATGACTTTTTTTCTTGAAACTATTGGTCATTTAAGAGCATATTATCTGAGTTCCACAAATTTGTGAATATTTCAGTTTTCTGTATGTTGATTTTTATCTTCATTCCATTGAGGTTTGAGAGTGTAGTTTGTATAATCTTTATCTAATTAAATCTGTTGTTCTTATCCATTATTGATAGCAGGGTA